GTCCCGCACCACCAAGGCCCGGGGGCGGGGCCGCGGGCTGCCCGGGCCGCCTGGCCCTCGCGCCGGCGAAGGGAGACGCGCTCTGCAGGGGGCGTGGTCTTTGGGACTTACCCCAAAAGGCGTCAGAAGTCCTGGCGCTGGGGCGCGTCGGCGCTTCGCTGTGCTTCCGTGGCCTTGTTTGGGTGGGACGCCTGGCCGCGACGGTGGCTGTGGCTTTGGCGGAGGGGGCCGTTGGCTCCCATCCTTGGCAGGGAGAGCGCGAGCGTGGTGACGCTGCCAAGGCCCCAGAGGTTGGGTCGGTGGGGTGACCGTGGTGATGGTGGTGCTGGGATGTGGCCCTGAGGAAGCAGGACCAGCGTAGGTGGCGTGGGGCGAGGTCGCTCTTGCTCATGGTGACATCCTTACCTGTGGGCTGGCGGGTCGTCACCACAGGCGTGGCAGAGGCGCTGCTGTCACTAGGAGTGGCTCCATGGGGTCGCCCACGCAACTTGGGTGCCTCAGCGCCCCTGCCAGCTGACCTCCTGCCCCTCCTGCCTCCCGGGAGCACCCCATCTCCATGACCCCTCTGTGGCTGGACAGGTGGACACACACCTGACCTTCAGGTGACAGAGTGGCCCGCAGGTAAACGTGCGCCCGCTTGGCCTGCCTGCCCCCGTCCTGGCCCTGGCCGTGTCCTTGCCCTGGCCACCACTTCCCCTCTGCCCCTTGATCCGACACCTTCAAGCTGCCGCTGGCCTTCCTGCCCATGGCTGCCGGAGGCTGCCTGTGCCCACCACGACGTCCCCGATCACATCCTCTGAAGGCAGAGCCAGGCAGTCATAGGTCACAATTTGTGTTGTTTTGTGGGCCCTCCAGCCAGGCCATGGACACCTGAGCCTGCATCGACAGATGCCCGCCAGGACCCGCCCCCCAACCCCCCAAGCGCCACACCCTGCTCCTGGGGCTGCAGGAAGTGGGAGGCCTGGAGGCTTTTGACTCTGGCCCTTTATCAGCTTCCTGCGGCCAGCCCAGCCTGGGCCCCCGCGGCGCCGGGACGACGGGTCAGCAGTGACTCACTGGGAGCCTGGCCTGGGGACACCCTGCCCCCCCTCATACGCACACCACTCCCCCACCTATGCCCTCCTGCTCTCACCCAAGCCTGCACCTGGCTGGCAAGGCCACTCGGAACCCCATTCCCAGGAGCCCTGGCCTGCTCCAGCCCTGCCCTTCCGCCACACTCTACCTACCATCTTTCCCGTGGTTTAGGGTCCGGCTCTGCCCTCAGGAAAGACTTGCAGGTCCCTCCCAACCCCAACCCCAGCCACCAGGGCTGTCTGCCCTACTTGCGATCCCAAGTGCCCAAAGCCAGTCAGTCGGGTGAGCAGCCAGGGTGCAGGGTCCACCAGGGTCAAGCTCGCACCTCCTCTGCCCACCTCTTTGGACACACACTTGCTCCCCACCCACGGACTCGAGACTCCCCTCCCCGCTCCTCTGCAAGAAACACCACGCCCCATCCTGACCTCCCCCACCCCCAGAGGCTTTGACCTACTGTTCCCCTCCTCTCCAATGCCCTCTGTCACCAGGTTGGTGGCCCACCTGCCTCTTCTGTGCTCCACTGTGGCCTGACCAGCGTCTTTTCCTTTGAGTCCTGGTGTGGACCCTCCCTCCTCCAGGAAGTCTTCCTGACTAACCCCTACACCCCCCCCCCTCACTCCAGGGCCTCCCAAGGGAGGGATGTCACCACTGCATGGAGCTTAGAGGTCTCCACGAAGTCTGGACCCTCCACGGGAACCCGGAGCCCTCTGTCCACCGCAGAACCCGCCCCTTACCTAGGGGTCCTGGGGATGCTGTGTGGGTGAGACAGGAAGTGAAGCTGAAGGTTGGGTGGAGAGGGCCCAGCAGGCGGTCTTAGTCTGATCTAGAGGGGCACCTCTGCCTGCATCAGACCACCTGGTGCAGGTGTCAATGGCAGAGGAGCCACACACCTGGGGGGACTCCTTCCCAGAGAAGTGCCCCCCTCCCCCAGAAGCAGGGCTCCTCACGGCACTGGCCCACCCACGTGCACAGGCACACACGAGCCCCCCCCCCCCCCCCGACACACACACACAAGAGGGCTCTCTCTTCCTGCACCCGCAGCATCCGGAGGCTCCCTGACCCACGGGAGCCCGCCGGGCCGTCCTGCAGCGCCGCCTGCTGGCTGGGGCCCGGCGGCCCCCAGGCACTCACAGAGCCCGCACAGGAGTCGAGGGGGTGCCCGGCGGGGCGGCCGTTGAACCTCGTGTGCCAGCGCCTTCCTCTGGCCCACGTGACCACCACGCCTCTCCCCAGCGCTCCCATTCCCAGCCTGGGGTCCGTGACAGTTTGGAAAATCTGTCTGTGGACAGCAGCCCTGCCCAGGGCCAGGCTGGGGTTGCCCCCGGGGGGCCTGGAATGCCATCCCCGGGCCGACGGGCTCCAGACTTCCACCCCTTTCCTGCGGCCTCCCCGTCATCCCACACTCTTCTCCCAGCCACCCTGCACCTTGCACAGACCCGCCGTCCAGGCCCACGGGGCCCATCTGCTCAGACCCTGCCTGGGCTTCCCGTGCCCCCAGCGGCCCACCTCTCTGTGCTCCAGCTGGCCGCACACCTGCTCTGCGCGTCTCCCACCCCCTGCCTGCTGGATTTCCCCACAGCGCGGAGGCCGTGCCCTCCCCGCCATGTCCCCACGGACAACGTCAGAGCAAACCTTTGCCGTGAGGCTTTGCCGACGCTGGCGGAGTGATACATCTGTGAGCCGACGGCTGAGAAATACACATTCTCCAGAGTCCTGCGTGTGTGGTCGGAGGAAACGCGCCAGGGGCTGGTGTGGGGAGGCCTCAGGGAGATGTGAGGGCGACGGGCACGGAGACGTGAGCGAACATCCCCGCTTCCCCACCACAGACATGACGAACACGAGGTGTGTGTGTGCACCTGCGTGTGTAACGCACACGCGCCCACCTGGGGCCCAGGTGGGGCTGTGCAGACACAGGTACTGATCCTGGCTCCCCCGCCGTGCCCACCACCCTCTGCCGGGACTCGCGATCACCCGCAGTCGGGCCCTGCTGGGACCCTGCAGGTCCTGTCGACGTCTGGCCCTGGCGGCCCCGTGGCCTCCTGCCTGAGGGACACGTCCCCCGCTGCCCGCTCAGCGCCACGTCGCCGCCGCCGAGGGCAGGCGCGGGGGCCACAGTGGCCATCCCCCTGCGATACACCAGGCGCTCCTCTTCTCAGGCCCCGCCAAGTGGGTGCGTGGCAGACAACGTCCTTGTTCGCTGTGACCTCCCGAAGGAGGGGAACGAGGACTCGGCCTGGCTGGTGCAAAGGCCCCTGGCGACCAAGGGCAGCCCCCTCGTCATCTGGCAGGGAGGCGCTGCCTTCCACCCAGTTAGGGCCTCCTGGGTGCTCGCTGACGGGATCTCTGTGGCCTCAGCGGTTTGTTCCCTGTGATGGAAGGTGACCTACCCCTCCTGACCCTGCTGATCAGCTCCTCCCTGCCCACCTGTGAGACGGCCTGGGCTGCAGGGCGCCTCCACCACAGCCCCCCGGGGTTGCTCCGGCAGCGTTCCCCACCCATCACCGCCCCTCCCTGGTGGTGCTCTAGCCCTCAGGCACTAGAACACCTAGGGCACTAGAAAGCTGTCCCCTTTCCTGGCCAGGGCCAGCCGCGGTGGCCGTGAGAAGGTGCTGGGGACTATCGGTGGTTGATCAGGGTCAAGGTCAGGTCCCACCAATCTGGGGCCCCCTGCCTTCATAGGTCCCAGCCAGGCCCATTGTATGGGGACAATGGCTTCCTGAGCCAGGTTCCTCTGCCGGCCGGAAAGCCATAAAGACTCTCCACTTTGCCACCGCCCACGTCCCTTTGAAGGGCCTGAGACTTTGGAGCCGGTCCCTTGGCCACTACCCTTTGCCAGCCGGGCTGGGGCCCAGGCCTCCCCAGGGACGAGCCAACCCTCTAGGCACGTAGGCACAGAGAGGCCCTGACCGGTCAGGGAAGCTGCTGGCCACACACCAGCATGGCCCCCACACGAAGCCTGGCATCCCCAAGGGAGCAGGACGCACACGCAGGGTGGCCGAGAGTCCTGCTCAAGTGGCGGCTTGGTGCCCGGGTGTGGGCAAGCACTCGGTGCTGGTGCTGGGACTGGGGGGGGGGGGGGTGGCACAAGAAGGGCCATCAGTCCTCTTGCAGGGCAGGGGACAGGCAGAGGGTCGTGCCCCCCGCTGGGCAAGTCCTCCCCAAGCCCAGCTGGTCCTAGGTCACCCCCTGCCCCTAGGAGTGCGGCTGCAGGACGGGGGTAGCGTAATTGGGACCGGCCCCACGGGGGAAGGGGCTCTCTAGGGTCGCAGGCAGCTGGGGGTGTAGTGTCCGCAGGGTTGCAGGCCGAGAGCTCAGACGGTCTGCTGGGCCAGGGGCTGGGAGGGCCTGGGGCGCCGAGGAGTGTCCAGGAGGCCCAGCAGCCTGCTCCTGCGGGGCCTCCTCTCTGTGCCCGTCTCTGCCACCTTGCTGGCGAGGGGGCCCTCAGATCCGGGAAGGGGACAGGCCCGGCGTGTGGAAGATGGCGACTCCGCGTGCGCATGGCGGGTGGGGGACCCGGCCGGGCGGGCCCCGCAACGATGTGTTAGAGGCCTTGACACGCTGTGGACAAAGACCATAGGCACTCTACCACTTCAAGTCTCCTAGTCTTTATTATTCGGGGAATGTAGCATTTCCGGGCTGCAGGGGGAGCGGGGGCCTCAGCTGAACCTGCCTGTGAAGCCAGGCAAGGCTGGGCCTGGGCGCCCGAGGGGGCGAGCGGCCAGGGGGCAGGGCAGGGCTGAGGACAGTGACGCGGTCAGCCCGAAGGACCTCATCTCCCTGGTGGCTGTGTGTGTGGCCTGCAGTTCAAGTCCCTGAGTTTGCCCCACTGGAACATCTGCGGCCTGGCGGGGGCAGGGGCAGCCAGCCCAGACCCAGGCCAGTGACAAGAGCCCCCCCCCCCCCCCCCCCCAGCCTCTCACCGGTCAGCCCCTCCCCAGGAAGCAGCCCTGGACCCTGCCTGGAAGGCACCACGGAGGACACCCCCCACTCGGTGCTGCAGCCGCCCAGAGGTGGACAGAGGGGTGGGAGGGTAGGATGCTGGAGGGCGGAGGCGGCAGAGGTTGCTGCCATCCAGGCCCGGTCCAGGGAGGGCGGGACGGAGGGAGACGGCACCCAGCAGGACACCCTGGGGGCTGCCCAGCCCCTCCTCCAGAGACCCACACTGCCCTCGGGCCATCGGCACTTCTGCCCACTTAGGGGCCTGACCAGTCCAGAACCACTTGGGGCTGCAGGAGGCACCTGGCGGGAGCAGCGGGGAGGCGGGGTGTGTGAGCCTAGGGCACACGAGGCCTGAGGACACGCAGGCTGGCGGGAGCCCCAAATCACTGGTGACGGTGGCCAGCAGGGCAGGTGTGGGAGGGTGGGGCTGAGCACAGCCTCTTGGAGGAAATGCGCCGATGTCATGATCCGGGGACAGCCCTTGAGAGACAGACGCAGAGGGCTCTCCCATCTGGCCAGCCTCCCTCCTCGCCGACCTCTCTCTGCCCTCGGGGCTCTCGCTGTCTGCCCAGGATGCCTGGGAACGATCTAGCTGGCAATCCCGAGAGGCCGCCCTGCCGGAGAGCCCCGGGTGGGGAAAGGAGTCACAGACCTGTCCCCCCATGCCTGGGAGGGGCTGTGGCCCGCCCACCTCCCTGCGGCCATCTAGAAGGTACCCTGTAGCTCTGACTCCCGCTCAGGGACGGACTGGCGCCAGGTCACACAGCACAGGGTGTGGCGGGGCACAAGCAGGTGCGGTGCCACACACACCCAGGTCTCGGCCGTCCCCCACCCTCCCCGGAGACCGGGGAGGTGCCCCGTGGGACGCACCAGGGAGAGCAGCAGGCCCACGGCCGTCTGACCTCAGCCGGCACCGGGCCCGCCTGCCCACCCTGGCCTGGCCCCCCGACAGACCTGCGTGTGCACGCGCACACCTGCGTGGGGCCGGGCCTGTACCCGTGCATATGCTCACGCGCGGGGCCCGGTCCGGGCCGGCGCTGGCTCTCACCCATCCGGCCGCGCTGCACGTGCTGGCCAGGGGGAGCTGGGCTCAGGGGGCCGGGAGCCAACGGGCACAGCGCTCCCACCTGGAGCCTGCCAGACACGCCTGCTTGCCGCCTCCTGCCCCCCCCACGAGGACCCTGGCCCCACCGGCAGGCCGCCCAGCTCTGCAGGGTCAGAGGACAAGCGCGCACCGCCAGGCTGCCCAGAACCCGTTTGTGTGCCCACGGGTGCACACGT